ACCGGTATGTCTTTAACAAGGTTGCAATAAAGTTCGTCTACGGGTATTTGTTGGAAGGCTTTGCTGTAAGAGGACTCTGAGCATCCATTTGAAGGGAGTGTGAGGTTGTGCCCATTTGGACCATTATCTATATACAAATATGTGTATCTATAGGAAATCTACCTAATTCTGCTCTACAGGCGACATTGCTACTATTTCTAAATAGATATAATAAGAATTCTTGGAATTGTACAGGCATTTTTGTCCACAGGCATGCGGAATGTCCACAGGCATTTCTCTGACCCACATCTATGCCCACATACCTGGAACCCTGAAGACCTGTCTGCCACAGATGGTCCTACTTTCTGTGACCCCGGGGCTCGTTCACTATGCACTCAGGGGAGGGGTGTCTATACTTAACCAAAGTCCAAGGTCTTCCTCAAAATCATGAAATGATGGCAGTGCCATGCAAACAATAACCCTAACAGCAACCACCGTCGCCATGGCAATGTATGTTTTCATTGCCAGTCTTGTTTTAATTGCTTGTACTAATTATTATTGTGTAATTTCATATGTCTGTAGGGTCTGTAGAGTCGGCCTTGGAGAGGAACATACTGTTCCTGTTGCCGTCTCCCCTCAGAATTTTAACTTCTGTGAAGTGGAATTCTGTGAAGTGGAATAAATAAATAAAAAACATAAATAAATACTAACTCTATGCGGCTACGACGACTTCTTTGGTGCATACCTCCATTTTTGGAGGCAGTGGCTAGTTGTTCCAATGTCTATCTAACGACAATCTACAACAAGTGTAGTTGACATCCTCCATGTTGGATTACAGTGCATGTCTGTTCAACATGCCGGTTTTCCCGCCAACATCGGGTCGTCGAGATTCATATGATAATTATTTTGACATAAATGAAAAGCCTTTAAAGGAGTACTAACCTCCAGAAGGGGGTGCTATATTCCGACAGGCATTAATTTCAGGAAGTGAAAAATGCATATTACTTTACCCTATACAATCAATAGAATGGAGGACCATCGTCTGCCCAAGATTGTCCTCTACGGCGAACTGTCTACCGGGCACCGAAACAGAGGAGCACCAAAGAAGAGATTTAAGGACTGTCTAAAGAAATCTCTGTCTTCGTGCAACATCGACCATAGTCAGTGGTCAGCTCTTGCCACTGACCGAGCTGCCTGGCGACATACAGTTCATGACTCAGTCTCTGCCTTCGAGAGGAGACGCAGAACTGCCCTCGAAGAGAAACGCAGTAAGAGGAAGAACCGCGCCGTCACGGCTCCAACACCAGACTCGTCACTTACCTGCAGCCACTGTGGCCGAGTATGCCGGTCACGCATCGGACTTGTCAGCCACCAGCGGGCATGCAGTGGGAGAGGGAAGGACCCTTAAATCTTCGGACAACGAAGCCAAGCCAAGAAGACAATCAAATGCCCATTTTGCGCGCAAGTCTTAAAACGCATCGAATCCAGGACAAACTCTCCAAATACCCTCAAAACTATCCCAGAATACAACACGCTACCCCATTGGTGTTTATGTTTTAAACAAAAAGTTACGTTACAGACTTTATTTCAGGGGCGATAAGAAAAATTCCTACCGTTTTGTGTTCTTTGCTATCTTACCAACCATTCCGTCCTTATCGCCCCTTATTTATGCCGAAATATAGACGATGAAAAAACGGCGTAATCTAATTATCTTTTGCATAAGTGGCGTAATCTAATTATTTGTTCAATTAATACTTACATGCAAATAAGTAGAGAAAATAAAAAACGCAGGATGAAACTGGCTCTCACTGCATTAGACATCCTCATATAATAGTATTCAAACCACAGGTCAAGCAAAGTAAAGCAAGTAATTTCTCAATAATCAGCTTGTCTCCTACAATTTTCGCCGAAAAATGTTTATGTTGACTTGAAGTGTATGAGTATTGCGTAATCCAGAGTTCCCGGATGTATCGATTGTGGTTCAGCATGGGGAAAATTGATATTGATATCGCTTTACAAACATGCGCCGCGCAAGTCGCACAAGAGAAATTACGTAAAAGTCGGCTAGTTATGTATTCATCGCAGCATGATGTATCGGAAAATAGCACTTCCTTCTGGAGGTTTGTACTCCTTTAAGTACACAGTAATCCAACATGGCGCATGTGAAAGCCTGTTTGCTTCCACAGTCTGAATTGATAAGGTTTTTATAAGGCCCATTTTGAAGTTCTGGGTGGGCAGTAATTCCGATCTTACTGATTAATACAACAAACTTGCGTGGCGGTTCCTTATTTGGCGTTTATATGATTGCACACTGATGTCTTTTTGGTGAATATTTAGCCCTTATAGTGGGGCAGATAACTGAAATAATCTGTGATACAAGCACCAAACTTGGTACAGATATTCATGAGACACTACTCTTTTGAAAAAGTACGCGGGCCACTTGATTTGACTTTTGGCGCCCCCTAGCCGCGCTTTGTGGTACTGCAGCCGATCTTCCGGGCTTTGTATCTCCTGTTTTAAACATGCTACAGTTGTGATTTTTATGTGGTAGAAAGCTGTTAAAGTAAGGAAGAGGTGACGTAAATTTGGTGTCTCTAGCAGCTTGCGTTGGAACTGCAGGGGCGTTTTTACCGGTGCACAATTTGCTCCAAGTGATCACGCTAGGAGGCGCCAAAAGTCAAATTAGCGTCCTTGGACTCCAAGTTGGAGCAAATTGTGCACCGGCAAAAAAAGCCCCTGCAGTTCCAACGCAAGCTGCTAGAGACACTCACACGCACGGGTGGTGAATCCGTAGACCGCACGTAGAAAAAGTTTTACATGCACTTAAAGTTCTACGGCGTGTCTGCGTGTTCCCAAATCCGTAGGACTCCGTACGGAGGCGGAACTCACCACGCACGGATGCCCTGCGTTTGCCCACGTTTTTGCACGTAGGCAGCACGCAGAAGCACGTACGGCGAGTTGTGACCAGGCTTTAGCAGTGAATGATTCAGTATTCCTTAATAAGGCCATGTTGATTTGATTATATGGATGACATCCTCTGGGAACCCCAAAACTAATGCGAGCGCGCGAATAAAAAATGTTTTGCAAAAAAAAAAAGTTGCTTTCATGAAATCTACGTTGTTATGAAGGTCGAACAAATGACACAGAGTATGGTATGGCGAATAAGCTACTGTTTAAATTCATTTCTTTGCATTTTAGTTTTTTGTTTGATTTCGGCATTCTACGACGTTGGAATCGTTTTCAATTTTTTTTTGAAACTTTCGGTATATATTTGCTCATTTTGCAACTGTTTTGTACAATTTACAGTGTGGTAATTTTTTTGGAAACGGCCGAAACTTCATGCGCGCGTGGATGTCATCCATATAATCGAATCAACATGGCCTAAGGTCTAGGGATAGCTTAAGAGTCAAGTAAATGTGCATTATGCTACGTAGAAAAATAAAGGCCTTTGCGTTCGATCAGACAGCGAAGGCGATGGTCATATCAGTAAAGAAAACAAAAAACAGATGGTTACAGATAATTTATTTTCATCCATACAATATTAGTACACTGGTGTTACATGTAACTCATTACAAAACTGTGCGTACAACAAATGGCAATCTACTACTCAGCCAAAAAGATTGTCACAGCAAACTTACATGTACCTCTGTCAACAAAACTGAAAATAAAGAATCTCAATTGTGCGACACCTGTGGGAGGACTTCTTTTGACATCTTTAGGACAAACATTCCTCCAATGCTACGCTTCGCTGCGCCAGGAAAAGGAAGAAGAAATACTTATATGACATTTTGGTCACTTCATTCATCTCTTTTACATGTAGTTTGTTGGCTAGATACCCAGTAACACATCACAATGTAGGTTAACTTGTTAAAGGTTTTACAGTACATGTATGTACTCTTGAATCAATTTTCTTTTAAGGCAACCATTCTTGTCAAATGCTCTTGCAGTTCATCACTGAAGCACATATACTTGTTTTCAACCAACATACATTTTTGTCTGACATTTTAGCATACCTTTAATATGTTAAAGCACATGTAACATAAAGTGACTTTCTTGTATGTCTGGATTATGAATAGCATCTTCTTGAATAAAGTATCTTCGTCACAAAATATAGAGTTCTTACTCTCCGACACAACAGTGATGGATATTGCACAAGACGACAGACTTCACACGTTTGTAGTCCATATTTTGGGGATACCAGGTTCCGACACATAGTGGGGCAGATAACTGAAATAATCTTTCAAATTGTGATACAAGCACCAAACTTGGTACAAATACTCATGAGACATTAAGTCCTTTGAAAAAGTACGCGGGCCACTTGATTTGACTTTTGGTGCCCCCTAGCGGCGCTTATTGGTACTGCAGCTGACCTTCCGGGCTTTGTATCTCCTGTTTTAAACATGCTACAGTCATCATTTTTATGTGGTAGAAAGCTGTTAAAGCTGTTAAAGTCAAGAAAAGGTGACGTAAATTGGTGTCTCTAGCAGCTTGCGTTGGAACTGCAGGGGCGTTTTTGCCGGTGCACAAT